GTTTTGGACCCCAGATTCGTGTTCAGCACGAAAAATCCGTTCGGAAACACCAGGTCCCGTCTTATTCGCAAAACCCTTGTAGACCAGTGCTATCATTAATATTGAACACAAGCTTCAATAGTTTTTCTTTACAAATTTCCTTCACAAAAAAGGCCCAAATCCACCTCCTTGCACTCATTCACACGTGCATACGTATATTCACGTATGTATCTGTTGATTTATAACGCATTATACATCATCACTGCTAAAGCAACGCCCAGTTTACGTGGCACTGCAAAATAATGCGCACAACGAACACGGTCAGCCCTTTCCGGGTAACCCCATTTACGTAGCTACGCTTTTTTACTTCTTTTCCTATTTTTTGTTTCTATATGTTTTTTTTCTTTTAAATCACATTTCGCATGGTGTCGTCATTTAAACGCTGCACTCTGCTCGCGCCGCCTGCTGCATCATACTTCAGGCAGCTCGTGTTTGTAAAAGTGCTCGCTCATAAAAAGTCTCCCACTCGTAGAATGCAGTGAAAGGGCGGAGTGTTTGGCTGGCTGGTTGTCTGCCTTTCACCTCTTCAAGTGCAGCACTTATGGCAGGTGCCACATTTTATTTGCGATGACCATCATTAGTTTGCACGAATCTGTGTATGTACATACATAGACTGTTACTCTGACACACTGTAAGTGTACCACGGTATGTATTTGTATACTCTGTGTGTTAAGTTAATGTTGCAGCACTTTCACTGTTCGTTGATGGTCAAATGCTGCAAAACGAACTGTCCACTACTTTTATGTCCTTTTCGCATACAACATTATCACAGTACTGAAATTTTCAACTCTTCACAGAAGAAGCAAAAAAAAGGAGAACAGTTAATTGCGTGCGTGTGGACCTCTGAAAAGTTGATTTTTTTTACTTCGGTTCTAAAATGTACATAGAAAAATGCTAAGTACTAATATTTTGGCACTTAGACTTTTACTAATTATTTAACCGAGCTTCTCATTCAATTTGCGGTTTGAGTCTTGATGTTATAACACAAATGGTGGGAACTACACTTTTGCGTCCCCTCCGAGCGGTAGTAAAAACTATTCCTAAGAGGGATGTTGCTCGGGGATCGAACCCAGATCCCCCCGGAGTGGTAAAATGCACCTTTTACAACTCAATCACAGCAGTATTATGAAATACAAAAAAATGGGACATTTCCAAAAAATTTCAAATAAGGCCTTGATGATGACGATGTGCAGTTAACCAATAGTACATATGTACATACATATGTTCATACGGTGACCAGATTTCTGTGCCCAAAAATCGGGACATTTCTAAAGCATCGAACCCGAGCATACAATTTTGATTTTAGAATAAAAAACAGTTTTATTAAAACAAAACAAAGAGAGAAAACTTGAAAAATTATCTCAAAAGTGTATACATACAATATATACGGTGGCGAGAATGTAAATAGGGAAAAGACATTTTAGTAAGTTTTGGCTACTTTTCTTTGTCTAAAAAATGTTTTTTTTATATTTTTTTATTTTTAAACATGTAAATCAAAATTTCAAACTTTGTGGAACATTTATAAAAATTCGACGCATTTTGAATACATTTTGATAAAAATTTTAAACATTAATCAGGTTTCTGTTTTGAGTTTTGTAGCCCATTAAATTTTAGTATAATAAAGTGCAAATTTAAAGTAGCTTGCGCTTACCCTTGTTTTTTGGCAATTTTTTGTTCGCGCATTTTCTTCCATACAAAGTATGTTCAACAATTTTTTTTTTTTTATGGAGAAAACGAGCAACACCTTCCACAAAAAATAATATATATTAAAAATCAACGGCAAGTCCTAGCCATAGTGAAAAAATATAAAGTGTGCCAGATAGCAATGACATTATATTCCGGTGCTCTTATTTGACAATTTATTATCAGAAAATTTTCTTTGATTTGACTTTCACGTTAACCCTTTTGAGTAAGAACCTATGTATTTTTTTTATTTGAATAAAAAACTAAAGAAAAATATCAAGAAATTCTTGCCGTTTGTGTAAAAGCATACATAGCGTTGTAGTATTGATGTTTTTATTCCGGAAGGTTGAGTATCGAAGCCGAAATTGGACAGAGGTATGCAACAAAACCAAGGGTTAACGCCGGATTTGAAAAAAACCGAGCACCAGAAATGCAAGAAAAAATAATAACAAAAACAAATTTTGCTTTCAAATATGAAGACGTCAGTTACCTGGCACACTTTATATTATTTCACTATTATCCTAGGTACTTAGTATTTTCATTTTTGAATTGAATGGGCTACAAAACTGCATACTAAGAATGTTTCTGATAAATCTTATTAAAAAGCGAAGCAATTTTATGAAACTTTGTCGAATTTTGCTAATTTTTGTATAAAGTTTGAATTTTTGACTTACTTGGCCTTTGTTAGATAAAAATAAAAAAAGTAATTAACATTATTTAAACGTAAGATGAATAGCCAAAGGTTTCTAAAATGTCTCTAAGTCTGTCTGTAAGTGCGAGGGAGTATCTATTATATTTTATAATTTTACTAAATTCATGGTAGAATCGTTTAATTAAAAAAAATCAAACATTTAAAAAATTTAGACAAGAAAGATAGATTGCAATATAGCGAGAGTACCAGTCTGGCAGGAAAAAACATAACCAAAGATCATAGCAAATAAATGCTGGCTATGGTTATGGCTTTCTTATATTCTATATCCATTGTGATAACGAAAGTGCTGCCAAACTTGTCGGAAAATTTTTTTTTGGACCAGAGTGCAGGGAGGCTCTTATTAAATTAATAGAGAAAATACTGAAAATCGGGACTAAATCGGTACAGAAATGAAAAATCTGAACCTTACACGTCCCGACTGTTAAAAATTGTTCTGCGGGAAAATTTTCTCAAAATCGGTACTGTCCCGCAAAATCGGTGCTGTCCCGCCAAAATCGGTACTGTCCCGCCAAAATCGGTACGAATACTCACCGTATACATACATATGTACTAGAGCTCTCGATTTTGGTCGCACATTTTTAAACAGCCCGGGTATATGAGCAGCGAGTACTCGCACACTACTTCAATGCTCATTACTCGAAAATTTTCGAGCATGAGCTCGAGTAATTCGAGTTTTTTCGAGTAATTTGAGCAATGTTTTTTTTTTTATTATATTGACATTTTTGGTAGCAACTTTTTAAATTTTTCAAATTATTGATATATAATGCAAAGATTGCCTTATTGGTATTTAATAATATAATTTATTTAACATGAATTAGAAAGCAAATACAATTTACAAATTTTCTTTTGTTTATGAAATTGTTCAAAAACTCGAAAATTTTGAACAAACATTTGAGCAGTTGAGCAATGAACGAGTTTCGAGCGAGTATCGAGCTACTCGCATTGCTCGATACCCGGGTATCTAGAGCTCTAATATGTACATGTACTAGCATTACTCATACGCCACGGTACCATACTCTTAAAATGCCAGGAACTCTTTTTATTCCTTAAATGCAAATACACTTTGTAACAATTTCAGAGTCGGGCAGCAAGATAATTCCAAGTTAGCATGAAAGACCTCAACAAAAATTATGGCCATATTAAGTTTGTAATATTTTGCCTGAGTGTTTTTCATTGGAATAATTTTGAACAACATTTCAATCCGTTAGCTCTCTCTCGAAAGGGTCGTTTTGACCTTATTTTTTGGAGAGTCTGAATAAAATGGCGTTTGGGAGATCGGTAGAGGGTTAAAATATTCTAGAAAGCTATTCGGCGGAAATTTTTTCTAGAGGTATTCGCAGACAAACAGCCTCATTGCGTAAGTCGTAAATTAGGCTGAATTGTACGACTAGACAACATTAGCATTGTCTACTGTCGTGCTGAAATAAGTAAACGACGAAAATTGTCGAAAACTATGCAGTGCTGCCAAGTTCTTCCGATTTAATACACTAGTCGAGTGGAAATTTTAGGCAATGACGCTAAATTTTCGATACGATTCGACTCTCGAAAAACGACTTGCATTCGGCACGACTCTCGCAATGAGGCTGATTTTCTTCATAAAATGTATTTATTTATTTTTCGAGCATAGTATTCAAATGAATTTGCAAAATTGAATATAGACACCGGACGTTTAGGTCGTTGGATGCCTTCAATTATAATTGAGATATCTACCATATTTGAAGACAAGTTTTATGAAATGTTCAGCCTCATTGCGTAAGTCGTAAATTAGGCTAAATTGTACGACTCGACAACATTGGCATTGTTTACTGTCGTGCTGAAAAAAGTAAACGACGAAATTTGTCGAAAACTATACAGTGCTGCCAAGTTTTTCCGTTTTAATACACTAGTCGAGTGGAAATTTTAGGCAATGACGTGAAATTTTCGATACGATTCGACTCTCGAAAAACGACTTGCATACGACACCACTCTCGCAATGAGGGTGATTTAAATATGGGTGCCAAATGAAAGTCTCTAATTTAAGCATTTATATTTTCGAGATAAAAAGTTTAATTCGAATTATTTCATAAGTTAAATGAATTATTAAAAGAAGTGTATAGATCGATATGGGTTTGGAAAGGCTTTGTTTTATTATTTAATTTAATTATATTTAGGAGAGTTGCCACGTATTTTAAAAATCAGATTCAATTTAATTTATCAACTTTGATTCATAAAAAATGTGCATGCGATGGTGAGCTTCCACCGCTTAAGGGGGCTGCATGGTTGACGGCTAAGGAATTTCTTAGGAATGGATGGATAATGATGCTGTGTGGGAGGATTTGTATTGATTTGCTTTGGCGGCGTAAACTGTCAAAATCATTCGGAACAATCATTTTACAAAACTCTTATTCACACCTCATTAAGGAACTGGGAGAGTACATATGAACTGGAAAAACAACAGCTTGGCTTCTACGATCGATAATTTGTACAATATGATGTTTTAAGAATCAGTTAATGATTTTTCCTATTAGGTTATTAGTATATAGCTTTTTATTCCAAACCCCAAAAATAAAGAGAACTTGCATTTGTTTTGTATTGTGTATTCAAAAATATATAAATAACTGGAAATGAGTTTTAACAATCGTATTTAACGTTATTATTTAAACTATTAGGTTCTTAACACGTTCAATTAAATCCTGTTTCTTCCAATGCGAGGGCGCCTTTACATCGAAATGTGATTTTAAAATATCACGCAGCTGGGCAATAGTGCAACTACTTAGCGTGTCATTATTTGCTAACTGCTTAATATAAATAATATCCTTCAAATGGTCCACATCCACTTTGGGTACCTTAGGCGCATTGCCACCCGATGAATCAGCAGCTCCACGTTTTTTTACAACTTCCGCATCTTCGCCAAATATTTCGTTTAGTCTCGGCAGTATTTTGGCAATCCGCTCATCTTGACGCTTTGTATCCGGCATTCCACTTAAACCAGCATTATCTGTTTTTATGTCCAACGCCAGAGCAAGTATATTCGATTGTAATGCCTCCACAGTTGGGTCGACAAGCGAATTGGATTGGAACTCCGTACGCAATTTGCCAACCACTTTCGTGAAAACTTGAACACCTTCTTCGGGAGCTTCATTCTGCATACTATTCCAGTTGGCAAAGTCAATATCTCGTATGTGTTTGGCAAAGGGTAAATAAATAATTTTAAAACCATCCCCCGAAAGTAGCGCACGGGATGTATTTCCCTCAGAGTCACCTGCTTCGACAGGAACCAACGCAACGTATCGTGGAATAGATTTTCTTTTGCGCATAAATAAACAAATCGCCATTTTTTCTCGTATCAAGCATCTTTCCCATAAAGCGCGAAATAAGCGTTTCGAGCCACTGATGTTTTTATCGTCCGGATACATAAAATTTTGTGGCTTATAGTACCAATTTTCTGGCAAATCAGAAATTGGTTTGAAACCTAGCAGCATCATACCCGGAGCATGCAAATTACGCACACGATTTATTTGTTCGGGTGTAATACGTATTGACATTTCTCCTAAGTTAATTTCATACCAGCCACCACTCTGTTTAACTTGTTGTTCCTCTACAATGTCCATAGTTTCCTGAGATTGCTTTCGCACCATAATGACACGCTTCTGTTGTACAATGGAGTTGTCTTTTCTTAGTAGGCGTACTTTTCGCGGCATAAACCGAGCTTTGAAATAGTTATAGTATTGAACCGATACCAACAAATCTGGTCCTAACGATAAATTAAAGCGTCCAAGCGAACGCCGCAAAACATTTTGACGTAATTTGCGATCGGAAAGCAATACCCGCAACTCTTCAGGATTTCGAGGCTCAAAGGCGTCAATATCACCATCTGAAACGATACATTTTAATCGTGGTACATAAGTATATAAATACATAATTTTTACAATTTATTTCCCCAACCTTCAACCAATGTTAGAAACTCTTTATAAAATGGCTCGTAATCGAATTCGTCTATCATAGGAACAACTTGAAATTCAATCTCTTTTCCCTCCAAGTCCTTTGCTTTTTGTAAAGCTCGTTGATATAAATTCGATGTTTTTGGATGCGGTGTTGCTCTATCAGTTAGGTATACCAAAGTAGACGAAACCAGATTATATCCTGCGTTTTCGAAAAGGTTTATGCACAGACGCAGCATTGCAGAAAAGTCACTATTTCCACCATTTCCCACTATACCATAATCGGCGCCAAATTCCTGCTCAACAGTCTCCATAAAGCGCAAATAATGTTCTACTATCGACTTGGACAGCTCACGGAGCGGCAAGAACACAGCACAATTCTGCGGTACTACAATATTATCCAAACTACTTGCCTCGTAAGGATCTGTATTCTTCGCTGTATTTGCAAATACGATGCCAATTAGGTCCTTGCTATTCACCAGCAATCCCGAAATTAGGGCCTTGCGTACAATATCCAATGCTTCTGAAAACCGTTCGTATTCCTCATAGAGATTGGCGTCAAGCACGAAAATCAGTGCCTCGCGCCCTTTATAATTTGGTTTGGTCTCATCATCATCGTCCTCGCTGTCACTGATAAGAACATCATAATTCGGATTCCAATGTGTTGTAGTGCTCGACGAGCTTGTGCTTGCCATTATTTCTATAAGTACCTCTAAATTTAAAATGTTGCGAAATTGTTTAAAAGCGGACTCTTGGCGAAACAACAGCTGATGGCGGCAAAGCAAAATTCTATTGTTGTTGATAAAAGCAATACGCAGGGTGTGTCTAATAAAAAACCTTTAACAAATTTATGAATAGCAACTCTATTAGGGCGGGTATAAAAAACTGCTTGTATATCAACTTCGAATTTTTTAATCCCTGCACACGATTCAACACAATTCGGATGAGTACGGCCTCGAAACCGGAGCCGACAATATCTTATAGATTTTTTGTGCTGATTTGTTGAGAAAACTATGTTGCAGGTCGAAAAGGGGCAAAAATGGCCAATTTAAAATTAGTTTTGTAAAAGGATTTAAAATTGTACTTCGACGTTTTATGTAAACTGCAAACCAAAATTCCCGAAATCTTAAGGAAATCGTTAGGAGTATCTCATTTCTGTAGCGATTTTTTTACGAATTTTCAAAGAAAATTATATGAAGTGGTTGACACGAACTCGTAAAGAAATTTCTGTACGAAAAATAAAGAAAATTCTGGAAAAATTCTGAAAGATATTCTTTCTTTTCTATGCGCCTGTACATACCCTGCAAACCATTTTTTCAGAGTATTCTGCATTGTAAAGAAATTTTAAAGAATTCGTTAAGATTTAATTCGATTTTTTGCCGAATTTTCTAAAATGAAATAAATTACGCACACTTCCATTCTTTTACGAAATTTCGGAAGAAAATCTGTGAAGCAACGAAAATAATGCTGCTATGTGAAGAATATCTTTCAGAATTTTTCCAGAATTTTCTTTATTTTTCGTACAGAAATTTCTTTACGAGTTCGTGTCAACCACTTCATATAATTTTCTTTGAAAATTCGTAAAAAAATCGTTACAGAAATGAGATACTCCTAACGATTTCCTTAAGATTTCGGGAACTTTGGTTTACTGGGCGGTCTCATAAACCGTCAGTATAGAAACCAAAAATTTTGATTTGTGTTGTGTACGTTGGAATTTTTTCATACTTGATTAATTTCCATAAAGTGTAGATGTGCGCGGATAAAAATGAAGGTAGATATACAATTTCTGTTAAAATTCTTTAAAATTTCATATTTTTTTTAAATATTTGTATTGTGTATGGCGAATTGAGTTATATTCGCCACGCGGTGACCTATAATTGGTCGTAAAATATAGCTAAAAAGAAAATTCATTATTACCAATTTACAATTTAAAAAAAATTTCCGTAATGCGTGTGAAACCCCATAGTAGGGAAACTTTTCCGCTGATAATTATTTTTTATATATATAACCCTGTAAAACCAGCTGTTTTTCAAATGGTGGCACTTTTCATTGCAAACTATCGAAATGAGCAGATGCATTCAAAATCGATTAATTCATATATTACTTAAATAATTAAATAATATACTAGTACTTTATTTGAAACACCAAATTTTGCATAATTTACATATCTACTATTTAGTTTTATGTAGCCCTCACAAATATATGTGCTCAATCTCAAAGAAAAATATATACTTTGCATATACATATAAATTCACTTAACGTATATTTCTTTCAATAGTTAATCGACTATCATCGCGAAAGGTTGGATATCAGTGCAAAAGAGGGAACACGTAAAATTGCAAAGAAAGGTGGTGTTTAAAACACAAATAAAAAAAAATTTAAAAAAGTTGAAAATTGCTTAATTAAATTCTTCTAAACCTAAGCAAAAGCGAAAATAAACAAAAATGAGCTCAAAATCATACTTTGAAGATTCGCGTGACGAAAGTCAGGGCGGCAAACTTTCCCGGAAGGTAAAGGATTCACCATTCATGGTTATTGGTAAGTAGAAATTCATAAAGTTTTATGTAATTAACAATAGTTAAAGCTAGGGAAGCATTGACGGGAAGAAATTGCACAACCTCGCTGCCACAACTACGAAGTATACGTTGTGACGTCAGCAATACACGCGCTGTGAAATTCAGAAAATTTTTTTGTTTGGGTATTTTTCCGTTCGGGGTCAGAACTGAAAGAAGTAGAGATGCGTGCACTTGACCTTGGCAATACTTAGTGACATTGGCGTGTCTGTATCCGCCGCCACCGGATCTAGGCGATAATTGAAAGTGCAATATTATTATTCACATACCTATCAAAGAAAGTTTGGTACAATATTTTCCAGCATAGCCTATAGAAAATGTAATAACTTTCGCTTTCAGCATTTTTATTGTTCTGTTTAAACTAATAACTTCAAAGAAAGCTGAAAGTTATTTATTTCATATCGGGAACTATTTGCCTTAACAACATATGATGAAGTAGCACAAATGTATGTAGGCTGCTTGCACTCCCTCTTCTATACTGTAGCTTCGCATTGAAGCCAAATTGATGATGTAACGGATTGGCCGTGCACAGGAAATGGGAATTACCTCTTTATTTTCATATACATACATATTTAGGAGCCTACATGCATATTTAAACTGCCTAGTCTTAACAAGTTGCATTTACAAATTGTCATTTTATTTATTTTTTATAAATTGCTAATGTTGCTGTGCAAAATTCACTTCAGCTGTCTGTTTCTTATCGCTATTGCAAATATTTTTTTTATTTCTATACGTCTATGGCACCTAGACAGCTGATGTTCGAGTGATTCACATTCACATGTTTCTAATATTATACCCGGCAAGAAACAATTTTCAGTTTTCCTAGAGCAATAGTTTGTATTTTTTTTTTAAAAGATGGTGTCATAACTTAATATGTTTTCCTCAAAACATATTTCTTTTAACAGGAAACACCAGACCTTTATTGGAGCCATAATAGCATAACAATTTTATTAGAGCCTGGCTTACGTTCTATGAAAGCTATACCTACGTTTTTGCCAGTTTGTTATATTTCACAATAGTGCCTAATTTTTTCGTACATACATACTTGAATACTTGAGCAAAGGTGTTAACGAGGAAAAGTTGAATACTTTGCTTACTTAATGCATTTATGCGACTACATATTTATGTACATACACATGTGCACATATCAGGCCGTGAGAGCAGAAGTGACCTAACCCATTTTTTTTTGTACTTAAAATATTCTCAAATAGATTTTAATTTAAAAAACGCTTATTCCTTAATTTTAAGGTACAAGGCTACATAGCGTACCATCAAATTAAGGAATAAGTGACCTTTATTTTAAAATGTATCACATTTGAGACAATTTTGAGTAGGTTTTTGGGGTAGGCCACTTCTGTTCTCATGGCCTCATATTGAAGGCAGACACCTCTATTCAATTCAAACCGATTCCCCAAGTAAACCTAATTCCACTCGGGTATCTGCTTTAAAAAACACAACTGCTTGTAAATGGCGCGTGTAGTCATGCTACATCATTGTTTATTGCAAATAAATGTATGTACATATGTATGTACATACATATATAATCAAACTTCAATTCTACTTGTTTGTGGTATTGATTGTTTGCAATGTTGTAATTTATGTAGATACGTTTTCATACTCTACCTAATTCGTGTTTGTGTTAAATGTTGTAGGAGAAATAATTACAAGCTATACTATGTACTGGAATGCGAATATTTTCTCGGAACTAAAGGCTGAATAAAATTTTCCGCGAAATGACAAACTTATTGGCCTCCACCTCATTTCATACAGCTATTTTTTCAGTAAGGTTGTATAGGTATTATGGTACATAATGGATGCGTTATATTCGTCAGCTGAGTTAAGATATTTGAATTTACTAGCGGGAAAGGGATTAACTTTCTAACTTTATTATTAATATATATACTGGCAGGATCTGGAATTCACTTCCGAGTGAATTTCAACGCCTGTAAATTTTTAATCAAAGCGAGTTTGATTGAAATTCACTCGGAAGTGAATTGCAGAACCTGCCTGATAGTTTATTTATGCTTTGTATATATTAATGACCTAAATCATATTATCATGTTTTTTAAATAACCATATTCATCCTCTTTACAGGTTTGGCTGGTTTCGTAGCAGCTGGTTTAATTGGCGCATACAAGTATAAGCATCGTGGTACGATGAGCACAAGTGTTTTTCTGATGCAACTTCGTGTAGCAGCGCAAGGCACCGTAGTCGGCTGCCTGACGTTGGGTCTGGCTTATAGTATGGCCAACGAGTATCTTTTTAAGGACAAAACACCCAAAGAAAAGTAATGCTGACTGATAACACTTTGGAATTAGTTAATAGTATATGCTTGTATTTCTAAATAATCGTTTATATGTAAATATCAATTTGAAATCATAAACATAAAATCCGCTTTTATAATGGAGATTTAACTCGCAATCAGAAGGTTAACTGCTGAATGCCAGTTTAAGTACATACTCTGCAATGTGAAAATGATACCAAACGACTGTAAAAACATAATTCAATGATAATGCAAGTGTTGCTTGAAAGTCTTTTAAGCATGGATACCACAGATATTAGCTTTATTTGTTAACTCTTTTAAGCTAATTTTTACACTAATTCATTTGTTTTGTACATATGTATGTATTATATTCTGTGTAACTTATAATCCTGCTTCAATTTTATTTTCATTATTTTTTCTGTTTTTCTTTTGTTTGTTTTTTTAAGTACCAAATTGTCCAACTAAAAAACCACAATTTGTTAGCTGCACTTACATACTACAACTACATACCAGAAAGGAGCGAACATTCAGAACAAAAGTGTATAGAAACTGCGTTATTGAAAAAATAATCACACGTTTGAGTAATTGTATCCACGGCAAATTTAGCAACAGTTAAAAGCATTCAACCCAGACACCTAAGACCATCTGTGTACCCACATATGTACATACTTTTAAACATTGTCAACTTGAATACATAATTTATTACTTAACAATAGAATACCATACGCACTACAAGTAAGTTAAGAAGGAAATGGCTATTAAACCATTAAATCGCGTACTTTAAACGCTGAGATCCTATTGCCTGTGATATGCAATGTAATGCGATTATAAAGTTTTGTGAACAGAGATGCTAAATATCAATTATTGCAGGAATGGGTTGTGGAGAAATACATACGAAAGTTGTTTTTGTTAATGATGAGTTTTTTTTTTTGTATGATTAATTTATGTACATAAAAGCATAAACAGACGGCAGCGTTGATCTGGATCAACTCGGGAATTAACTGCGGTTGATCCGGATTAAGTCCGAGTTAATTCGGATCAACGCTGCCGTCTGTTTAAGCTTTAAGTTCGATTTAAAAAGTTTTGAAAAAATATGTATTAGAAATTTTAAAAGATCAAACATTTAAAATACGAAGAATAAGAAGAATAAAACTCAACTAAAACACATAAAATGATTTCTGTTACTGATTGAATAAAAAGCGATAATAAAAAAAAAACAACAACAAAAAAACACAAATTCAATAGTTTACACAAGGTACATTGAACAGGTAGTATCAGTAGAGCAGCTGATTTGATTTATTTTCAAATTATTTGGTCTCGAAAATGTCAAATATTTTTAATTTTTTCTCACAAAAATTCTGAAGTGTTAAAATCCATTTGCATGTGAAACCTTTTTCCATACAAAACAAGCGATTGAATAGCAGCTTTTGGAACCTTCGCCCAACTCAGCAGCACAACCGCTGATTACTGGCCCTTGTAAAGGATAGATCAATGCTTCGAGAAGCAAACAAATTTACTAGGAAAGAAAGTTGCAACAATTTTTATTTTTTCCAATTTCAATTTTATATTTTTTATAATTTTTTGTATTTCACCTGGCACGCTTTGATTTAGAAGAAAAAATTCAGAACAGTTTTTGACACTTTCGATACCAGAAGCAACAACAAAATACACGCAAATGTTGTTTTTGCTCTACTGATACTACCTGTTTAATGTGCCTTGACCGACCATGCAAAACATGAGAAATAGGCGACAATCGTCCATGGCAACAAATTGGCGACTCGCCGATTTATTGCCGTAGGGAGAAATCGGAAACATTATTTCTTTTATGTCATTTTAGGAATATGTTTTCAAAAATTCCCAGACTGATGAACTCCGCGTCAACAGGATTCTTCAAAAACATATAATTTATGCCCAAGAAAGGGTTGAAAAATTAGGAAGCTCCATAGCGACGAAAATAGTTAATTTCGTTTACAAATTATAAGTTTGAGTTCAAAAACAAATGAAACATTGAGAAATAATAAAATTGTTGCAAGAAATTATTATTTAAATATCGCTTGTAGCAATAATAAAACGACTCATTCAGGTAATAAGAAAACGACTCGCCCAGGCGAGTTGCCTGTGGCGGACGTTTTAGAGCGACTGGTAATAAGAAATTGCCGGCAATAAATTTGTTGCTTAGGGCGACAAGTTTTCTTATGTCCGGCAACAAAAATTGTCTGGTGGGGAGTTTACATCATTTTTCAAATTTCTGCAATCTTAAATACACTATGTGTCCAACTGAGACAGTGTATAGTAAAGTTGTATAACAGCATTTGTACAATTTCTAATTTATGGGTCGATTACGCATAGCAACGCAACCACGATTCGGTTGGCAGCTGGCAACGCAACTGGAAAGAAAATTTGTATTAATAGGGAATTTACATGAGGCGATTTTTAGTTGAAAGCAACAATCGCCTGGTGTAAACGGCCTTTCAACTAATCGCTTTCAATGAAGTTGGTCGGCTGCCTACTTTCGATCAACTTTTGGTTCAACTAATCGCCTGTGAAAGTTGAATCATGTAAATTCCCTATAATACCGAGTAGTTGAAATAAAGATGGCGGCTACAGCTATCGATAGTAACCTAAAAACGACACTATCGATAGTGCCAAATAAAGGCAAAGCATCGATTCTATCGAGTTTTTTAGCTCTAGTCCCGAGCCATGATCAAAATTGGTTCAAGGTCCCGAACTACTTTATTTTAAGCTAAAATCAAAGCGAATTTATACGTATAAATAGAATTATAAATTCGCCTTGCAAAAAGTAGTGCACCGCGAGCACCAAGGTGTATTAAACAAGGTGGTGTTGGGGCGACAGCTGAGTTTTTCGCCGCGGAGGCCATTACGTCAAAATGATGTGTTTGTTGTAATTCATACCAATGACAGTATGGACATCAGCGTATAATTTGTTAGTGTAATTTTTTACTTATATACGGCCAACACCACCTTGTTAAATACGTCTTGGCGAGCACCGAGTAAAACGTCGATTACAAACGTACAAGTTTCAATTGGAGCACGCATAGTAAGAGCAAGGCGTAAATACAAGTTTGTTACGACGCTTAGCCTGATACTATGCTCGTCCTTCCACCGCGTTTAAAAGCTTAAACATACAGCTGCGTTGATCCGGATTAACGCTGCCGTCTGTTTATGCTTTAACATTCGAGTCAGAGTGCTAACACAGAGCCGTGCTAACTCAGACGCACCTCTATTTCTTATGTCGTACGTTAAGCTATAGAGTTAGGAGTCATAACTTATGACACACTACTAAATAAAAATATATTTAAATTTGTATTTTAAATTTATTCATACCACAATCAATGTGGTATTTAGCATTAATACAATTGCCAAATACAAATATACATCTAAGCAGTGACTGATGTGGTGGCAGCACCAGCAGCGGCAGCAGCCTCCTCCTTGATGCGATCCTTCTTGAGTGGACCCATGAATGCCAATTTGTCGGCCGGAGTCTGGAAACGACCATGACCCATCTTCGACGATGTGTCGATGAATTTGAGTTTGATTTGTTCTAGAGCAGAGCGCTTGGTATGCTTCAATAACGACTTGCGTAGTGTAAGCACACGCTTCTTGGAGCCAATGCAGCAACCCTTCAGCATGACGAAGTCATTGGTGACTTCACCATAGTGGGGGAAACCACCCATAGGGGTGATGCTCTTATCAGTTAAATCGTACTCAGTGGAGGCGTTGTTCTTGATGACCTGCAAAAAAAGCAAGCGAAAAAGAAATTTAGAGTATGTTAAGATCAATTCTAAGCGAAATTTTTTATAAATTATGCAATTCAGTCCTATCATTTGATTATCATTTTTTTATCAATAAAAAGTTATGTTTGATGTCGGAACTTTATGAGTTTATCATCAATGCTGTGAATATGAGTAATTTTTTTCGATGTCTTTTCTTAACCTACCTTGCCGTCCTTGGTATGGATTCCGGCACCGATGCGATAGATCTTCTTGTTGATTTCGGTACGGTGATGGTAACCCTTTTGACCGGCACGCGCCACGGTGAAGGACACACGAGATGGATGCCAAGCGCCAATACAGGCAACCTTGCGCAGACCCTTGTGCGTCTTACGTGGTAATTTCTTTGTATGCCAACGAGCAGTGACGCCCTTGAAACCTTTACCCTTGGTAACACCAACGCAGTCAATCATCTCATCCTGTCCGAAGACATTGCTGACCTGCACGGGTTTCTCCAAGTTTTCACGCACCCATTTGACCTTATCCTCAATAGAACCACCGTTCAATTGGATTTCCATAATGTGGGCCTTCTTTTGACGTTGCTTGATCAAGCGAATCTAAATGGGATAAAGTAAAATTTGATACATTCTCGAAGATGTAAAATTTTTTTTCTTAAATTTATACTGTACGTGATATGATTTAACTGCGCAGTTATCGCCTAAGCGGCTATGCACCGTTACTGGAATATATCAAGAATCGCCACCCGAAGGGCAATTTACTCTGCGACGTTGCGGTTATATAACTGTGCATTGAACATCACAGCAAAACCGCCTTTTAGGAACACTACATTAGACGCACTCATTCATCCAAAGATTGCAGAGCACATCCAACGCTGCGAACCAAGGACGTCGCATTAATTGCTTACGTAAATACATTACAATACAAAGTTAATTTTATTTTCAATAATTACCTGCGAGTGAGCAATGACGCGGATCACCTTGCAGTAACGCAGCATCTTGCGGAAGTCATTCTCAATGCTCTTCTTGCCCAAGTCAACTTCCCACTTCTTGCTGGCCTTGGTGAAAGCCTTCTTCTTGGACTTGTACCTGAATCGAGGCAGATTGCAATCGTCAACTCAAAAATCAGAGAACTACATATTGACACCGGAAATCAGTGTAATTAGCGGGACAAAAATGCAGCCTTGTAGTTTGCTCTCAGCTCCATTGGGTGGGCGCAACACTCAACTTCTTTGCTATTGGAATTCCGACTGACAAAAAAAGAAACGAAGTCGACCTCATCGCATTTAACAGCGAGCGGAGATCAATCTTCAATGCCGTGCTCACGATTTAAAAGTACACATATCGGAATGCCGAAATTCAAAATGAATTCCTAGTAAACAATATGGCGCTCACACGACTAATACATATTTTAAAAGCCCTCTCAGCACGCTGATCCAAGAGCTTTGATTTTAATTGATTTTTTAGTAAAAGTTTTTTTTAGATGAGCAAACAATGAAAGAGGGAAAATACTACGAAATTGATTTCTTTAATTTTTGATCAGAAGGAAGGCAGGCAGGGATGGTAAATATTAGTATCTTCAAAGAAGTCAGTTACCATCTATCATCATACACGATTAAAGAAATCAACACGTGTTCATGCGTCAATTCCCTCCCCAGTACAAAAGGGATACATATATATTATACACATATTTGAGGTTATGATAAAACAACATACCAGTTCTTGTAGAAGCGGCGACGACACTCTTCAGACAAATGCTGTGCCCATACGTTAACGAGAGCTCGAAGACCATACGGAGTTTCAATGTAACCTACAGCACCAACAACAATCATTGGTGGAGTTTCCAAAACGGTTACTGCTTCAACGACCTCCTTCTTGTTGATCTCTGCAAGACAATTACTCAAATTTAGACCACGTGTTTTTTTTTTTTTCTTAGCAATTATTTGTCATAAAACAAATCAGTTCGCCCTAGTTGTATTAAAATCATGGACATCATTTGTTTTCTAACCATAAATTTTTAACTGTTTCTCATCATAGAAAATTATTTAAATACATATGTATAGCTCATAAGAAAAGCTAACTTACTAGATCCAGGACGATCAGCCTCACGCACGATATGAGTCATGCCAGCTTTGTACCCAATGAAGCACGTTAGATGAACTGGCTTGCTGGGATCATCCTTGGGGAAGGCCTTAACCTTACCACGATGACGGCGTGAGCGCTTTTTAGGGTTGAATGACATAGAGCCATGGCGAGGCGCAGAGAATTTACGATGAGACTGTAAATAGGCAATAAAATTCACTTTAAAATGGCAGCAATTCAATGAATCCAATATAATTGCAGATTTCCAACCACGTGTAAATACTGACAAGAGGGTAGAATTTTGGCGTTTACTGTCTGATTATTTATGCATTTCACGTTGAAGAGGTTACTGCTAGGCTGCAAGTCTCTTTTAATATATTGGCAGTGCCAAAAAAAATTAACAATTTAAGATTTTTCTTACCATTTCTCAAAATCTTTTTCGACGCTTCCGCTCTACTCGAGCGATGGTGACAGAAAGAAGGTTGGTTGCCGGAAAACCACGGAAGCAAGCTGCGATTTGTTAACTACAAAAACGAACAGATCGACTCAAGGGGCGACATCTGTCAGCTGGATTCATCAACAATTACATCCGCGCACATGTGCGCCAACATGCTCGCTGTCGTTTGCTGCAGACGGCGAGCGGCTCGTAAGTGATTTTGTACTCAAAGCGTAAACATGGAAAGGAAAGATGCGGATGATGCAATTGAAATACTTATGACTTAGGGTTTTTTATGTATGTGTTACTTAAATTTATTTATATTTTACTTATATGTATGTACATACATATACATATAGTAATTTAGCCTCATTTATCGAAAATTCAATTAACGCACATGGCTTGGATGCATTTATCCGCGATGTGCACACTGCAAGCATCAACACAAAGTGAGGTTGTTGGTTTTGTTTTCAATGCGATGCTCGCAAACCACGCTACAAACGACGAACATGGCCCGCAAGCCGAGCATGTGCGCGGATATGTTCGTCGTGTGTAGCCACTGTTACTTAGAACCAAATCACATGAGGTTCTTTCCCGTACGCAATGCGAGATATCGGGGCTGGCCAAAACAGTCCAGAAATCATTCCAGTACTCAACAAAATGGGTAATAGTCTTTCGCACAAGGTAATTTTTCAGGCAACTTTTGCGTTCAACTCATGCAGGGTTGCACGAAAAACTAATTGAATGGCTAAAAATATCAAAATATAACAAAATATTTGCCATAAAAAGGCGTTTGCATTGTTTAACTTTGCATTCTACTTTTGGTTGAACGGCCTTTCAGCTAATCGCTTTCAACAAGGTTGGTCGCCAGCCAACATATAGCCATTCAACTTTTTTTCGTGCAACCCTGCTTGAGTCCATGCTTAGTTTGAAATTTGACCGTTAATAACTTTTGTGTTTGTGGTTGTTTCCGCCACACCAAAGATAATATACAGCTACGCCCACCTCAATGATCTCTATCAATCACACAATCATACAATTTTATTTTATTTTAATTCAACATGACAACACATTTTAAAGCACCTTTATAAACAATTTTGCCGAAATTGTGCGCTTAAAGTGGCTGACAATAATTTACGTTAATTTTATTTTTTTTTCTGCTTTGTTTACTTTTCGCTCGTTTTCCAGCGGAACAATATGGCGTAGAAACCGCTCAAAAGATCGGCTTTTTTCACTCTTGTTCTTGCGTGATCTTGTGTCGTTCGTTCCTGAACGCATGTTGTGTACCTTCAGTTTTACTGAGTGAACCTGGAAAATGTGGATAAACCAAATTGTGTATACATACCATTACAAGTGTTTAGAACTGGATTGATTTGACAGCGCTTATTAAAATGGATGCAACCCTGTGTTAAGCATAAATCACCTGTTTTAGGATAAATGACATAACCATAACAATAATTTTTTTTTTCTAATTTCTCAAAATAAGGGACGTAGTTTTATAAATTGCGATGTCCGCTTATAAATATAATGAATTGATTAAGCTTGGTACTCAATATGCACGACGGATGGACTATCTCTCCAACCGTATATTCGGGGAAGTGGCACGTACGACCAATGAAAAATCTATGAAGGTCGTACGTATGTTCGCTGAAGAGCCAGTGCATAAGCGCGATTCATTGAATAACTGGTATCCCCGACACGTTGAAACGCACGTACTTATGAAGAACTTACGGGCTTATGGTTTGTACCGGGATGAGCATGAAGATTTCAAGGAAGAAATGAAGCGAATGCGGCGATTGCGTGGCAAGGCCGCGCCGAAGAAGGGAGAAGGCAAGCGCGCTTCCAAAAAATAGTTGTGCACTGCTAAAAATAAAGATAAGTTATGTACTATATGTTAAAAATTTATTGTTTTATTAAAAGTTTAGCATCGCCTACAAAAACTACATTTTCGCCTTGGCGGCATTCGTATTCTACTAGTGATATTTTGCGCTCTTTCACTAGACGCACTGAAATGTGGACATCGCCATCAACGCGACAAGCATGCGGGAAACTAAAGTTTTGACTTAGCACTACTGTTCCAGCTCCGGGCAACTGCGTACCAATAATACCAGCCACAATTGCATTTAGGAAAGCACCATGCACTTTACGCTCAGATATTGGTGTCGCTACACTATGTATAGGATTATTATCGCCGGTTAGAGATGAAAACTGGTCTAACTCGTGCTGGCTGAAGCGTTTGACTAATATAATATCTCTCCCCTGTGTCGCTATGTAACTTTTACACCTTTTTAGAACTTTCAAGCACATTTTTAGAATCTACCACTTCCTCTATGCGTGATCCAAAATCTTCGCAAAATAATGCAGCCAAGTTCTTAACACGTGGATCCGGACTTAGGTTACGCAAGTTGGTAATTGTCTTTAGCAAATGCGGGGTGATGACTCGACTTTTTTCCTCTTGCGAGCAATTGTCCGCAGTTATTAGCTGATAGAAAAGAGCAATGGAATTAAGATGAATGTCGGTCGCTTCTGATGTCTGTAGTAATAGTTTGACTTGAGAGTTTACTTCAGGCTTAGTTAAAAAATTGAATGCTGCAGGATCTATGGAACAAAATACATACATATATATAAACTTGGAGCTTATGTAAATTTAGGATAAAATGTTACCTAAACAAATATTACAATATCCAGCAAGCGCATGCAGTTGCAATCGCTCGTTTGGACTCTTAGTGCATTCCTCAAAAACTTCCAATGCCCCAGCTTCTTTTAGATATTCCCAATTAATTGGATCATAAGCAAAGTTAGCTAAGTTCGCTGTTACTTGCTCCTTTGCCTCTGACAGATATATATATTTTTTTAATTTTATTGATTATTATTAGCTTTAAAGATCAAGAATTGTTTGCTCACCGACGTTGGTGCTGGTATGATACTCTTCTACCAGATATTCAATATAATCCGGCCTTGGTATTCCTCCTTCTGGTGTTCGTCTTTTTAGATGGGCATGACCAGAAAACATTTCAATTAGGAAAGTGATTTGTGGCCTTCTTTGCTTTAGCCAAAGTTGTTTACAAACATGTGATAAGAAATATAGCTGTCAAATTGATAAGGGTGTTATGTATCGATTATGCAACGATATATGTATAAATTTTAAATGTAAAGTTGGAAAAAACCATACCTATCAATGAGAAATTATTTCTTTATGAAGATACATCCAAAGTACAAAACACTTAATAAAAGCCTACATAACAATAAAAATCATTATATAAACCACATTTCCCATATAAGATATTTTTATTGTCCGAAATGGAATAAGATACTCGATTTTAAATCACTCCGTTTATGGATAGTTTGAGCAAACTTATCGTAATAAAAACCTTTATAATAAAAAATGTTATGGCTGCATTTATTTATTCATTCTGAACGTTTGGAATAAACTTTTTTGTTAACTTATTCTTTAGAACGTTCCTGATGATATGTTAACGTATATTTCAAACGCATTCTGTTTATTTCGGCTGAGAAATGGGATTATCCGGAATATTTAAAGAAACGCAACCTATATAAACCATATATCCCATATAAGATATTTTTATTGTCTGAAATGGAATAAGATACTCGATTTTAAATCACTTTGGTTATGGATAGTTTGAGCAAACTTATCGTAGCCGGCGACTATACTTTTTAACGCCGTTATGAGAAGTAAGCGATCATATGTTTATTGACAGGAAATGACAACAGCAACCGACAATTTTCTTCTATTGACAACGCAGTCGGTGAAGGGAAACATTTTGGTTTTTTTTTGCATTGAGTATAGCAATTAAAAGTTAAAGTAAAAACGCAATTAAATGGCAAATTAACCAAACTAGTGCAATCGTTTTCCAGCTCAACTCGTGTATTAGAGGAACGCAAGCAAGCTTTGGAGCTAAAGCCATTTGCAAAGCTTGGTGAAAAAATTTGCTGCGAACCTTGTGAGGTTGTACAACAAAACCCAGAAAAATGTTTCGTAGTCGCAGTTGGTTTGGAGGGAATTGGAACCGCCCAAAGAATCGCCTTTCATTGGAACATCTAAAGTACCTGTACAGTATACTAGAGAAAAATACGACTGTGTCGGAGAGTAATCGCGGACTCTTGGTGGAATCACTGCGATGCATTGCAGAAATACTGATCTGGGGCGATCAGCATGACTCTTCTGTATTTGAGTGCGTAACGAAAAATTTTTATAGGGTATTTTTGCAACAAACATCAATCGCTAATAAACGACATGCATTTACTTTATTAACAGTTTCTTTCTTGAGAAAAATATGCTGTCCTACTTTTTACACATAATGCGTCAAAAAAGTGGGGGCTCGAGCTTTGTGTGTGTGCAGCTATTACAAACGTTAAATATTTTATTTGAAAACATACGCAATGAGACATCGCTGTGTAAGTAACAATGCCTGGGCAACATACCAAACATGATATGGGCTAATGAAAAATATTTACGCTTGTAATATGTACCTATTTCGTGCAATTGTATTTGTAGATTATCTCTTGAGCAACAATCATGTCAATTCTATAATTGTACACAAGTTTGATTTTTCCGACGAGGATGTAATGGGCTATTACATTTTATTTTTAAAGACGCTGAGTCTTAAACTCAATACGCATACCATACATTTCTTTTACAATGAAGTAAGAATTTTGGTACTTATTGATTGAATTGAATTTAACCTTATTGACTAATTGCAGCATACAAATGACTTTCCGCTTTATACAGAGGCTATTAAATTCTTTAATCATCCCGAATCTATGGTTCGTATAGCAGTACGCACCATCTCACTAAATGTCTATAAAGTGCAAAATGCCAGTATGTTGCGGTTTATCAGAGACAAGTATGCAGTTAAAACATATCCCTGTAATACCAGCAAAATAAAATTTTTTATTATTTTATGTTTAGAACTGCCGCTCCTTATTTCAGTAATCTCGTATGGTTCATTGGCAAGCATATTTTGGAGTTAGACACTTGCGTGCGAACTGATATTGAGTAAGCTCTACAAATAGCTCTTTACCGAAAAAATATCACTTATTTTTATATTTTTGTGCAGCCATCAGTCAAATCAGAAACTGTCCAATTTGGTCGCCGAACATCTCGATCATTTACATTACCTGAACGATATTCTGCTACTCGAAATAGACGACTTGAATGCCGTACTTACCGAACATTTGCTGCACAAGCTCTTTGTGCCGCTTTATATCTTCTCACTTACGCCCGCGCCACCTCCTCCTTCACTCGCCGTGGCTACACAAAATCTAGCAGCGGTTCTAAATCGGCCAGTCGATATTGATATACAAGAGATTACTAATCCACGTGTATCATCAATCGTCGCCTTGTACCTGTTGTCTTTGGTCTTCTTGGTTGTAACACATTCGCCGCTAGTGCATGCCCTTGCCTGGGTGATACTAAATGGTGATCACAGTGTCTTTAAAGAGGGCGCTGCTGAAGTATTAAATGCTTATGTAGAGCATCGCTTGGCTGTTGTGCCTGGTTTTGGCGAGCCGCGTGAAAGTTTGGAGCAAGCATTAGAGACTGTAGGTGCTAACTCATATAGTTATAGCTATGAAGGTGACGATTTGAATACGGTTGAGGCCACAGCTGGTACAAGTACTACAGCAACAGCAGCGGAAAATGTGGGAGAATCCATTGTTACGACAACAACTACGGATGCTGATGAGCAAAGAGAGGAAAGCGATGCGCAAGTGATAAAGCGTAAATTTTCAGCGGGCAAAGCAAGCGTAGCTGCGGAAATTGTACTAAATAATGCCAAATTAGCTAATATCACCGACGAAGAGAAAGAGAAGCTACAGAAGCTAGGGCAGTCCTCTCAAGGGTTAAGCGAATTGAGCCGACCGTTTTTACAAATGGTGCTTTCAGCGTTGGACTGTACAGAGAATGATTATTTAGCGCTTTTGGCATTATGTCTCATTTACGCGATGGCCTACAACCGAGGTAAGTGTGTAAAAAAAAGCATTCGTAATACACACACTGCGATATGGGCAAATGTAAAGATCTTTTTTTGCTTTGTTTGAGATAATTTTCGAAACTACAAAGATAATTGCCTATGCCCATGTGGAAAATGTGGCTAATTGTTAGGTTGCATCCAACTTTTCACCATGTAACAAACGCTAAATCAACTTACTAATGCACCATATTGTTCTCCATTATTTTCTACTTTTTCATTTGTAATGCTATCCATTAAAATTCGAACGGTGATGTGTTTCTCACTACTTTATGCTTCATAAACTGACACTGTAGATGGTACGTAAAACTCTCATATGTATGTATGTACATATGTATTGTCATCTGTAAATTCCATCATATATATTTGTATAAGCCTTAGCATATATAATAATTTCTTAACCAAGTTTGTATAGCCTAATCTGTAACTGTGTTTTTATTCATTTCTAAACAGGTGTGAAGAACGATTGGTTCGAACAAGTGCTTTCCAAATCTGCCAAAGGCTCTTATAGCTATAAAACGGAACTGATAGAACGTCTGCTGCACATAATATCGCTCTCCAGTCAGCCGTGTATGGAAGAGCAAAAACATATAAATAGTTGATTATATATTTTAGGCTATATTCATACATATTTATTTATTTTCTTCACAGCCTGTCGCATACGTCTGATTACCATTGAAATCGCTTTACAACTTCTTGTAACCTTCACTAAGCCTTGCACCGATGACGCGTGCATTACAGAAGCTCAGCAAGATGCATTGTTTTCAGCGCGCAATCAGTCTATGGTGGTTTTACGCAACTTTTATAAATCCGAAGACATCTTTCTTGATCTTTTCGAGGATGAATTTAATGAAATGCGCAAAGCGATTTTGAATGTTGAATTTTTGTGTATGGACTCGACAATACTCCTACCACCAACTGGTACGCCCCTGACAGGCATAAATTTTACACGCCGCCTGCCGTGTGGCGAAGTGGAGAAGGCGCGTCGAGCCATACGTGTTTTCTTCCTGCTGCGTAGAACATGCCAAGAATTTTTAAATGAAAAAGAAACATTGCTGCCGCTGACAAATACCTTGCACCTGGTGCAGGTGGATAACGTGTTAGACTTAAGTAAGTGCGAAATACAAATGTTTGCTTAAAAGATATACCTTGATTTGATAATTACGTGCCTCTAGATAACAGCGATTTAATTGCCTGCACCGTAATCAGCAAGGATGGCACCAAGCAGCGACGTTTCCTTGTTATAGATTCGTTGCAACTTATACTCGTTGAACCAGACGCCAAACTGCTAGGATGGGGTGTAGCTAAATTTGTTGGATTCCTGCAGGATGTAGAAGTGGTCGGCGATAAGGACGATTCGCGCTGTCTGCATATAACCGTACATCGTGGTGGCGCGACGCATAACCGTACGCCGCTATTATCGGCGAAATTCCTTTTCGACGATCACATACGCTGCATGGCTGCGAAACAAAGGCTGACAAAAGTACTTTACCTATATATTTTGAATGTTTAATATATAATTTTGAAACTTCATACATTTTACAGGGCCGCAGCAAGGCACGCCAAAAGAAAATGTATCAAATCGCGCAACTCATCGAAATGCCGGGCCAAGTAGTCGACTCACCGGTCTATGCAGTAGCTGGTCTACGTGCTGGTAGTGTGGCCAGCAGCAGCTCTCGTTCCTCACGCGAACACCGTCCCATCTTGTCCACAGCGAATAGGGTGCCTGGCTTTGCTGCAGCTTTAAAACGCGATACAAATAATGGCGGTGGTGTAAGTCGCATACAAATGGCGCGAAATCGCTCAATCGAAGGGTTAGTCAAGTGTTTTAATTTTTAAATGCATATATCTATGTATACATATAGCAAGCGTGCATTTGATTTTGACTTCTCTTATTTAGCATACGTAACGAGAGTGTTGGACGTCCACGTCGTCGCAATTCCAATTCCAGTTCACATTCGTCGACATCTCAAACGCGGGAAGTAAATTCATCACCCGGGCGTGAACATTCGCCTAGCAGCTCTTCGCAGTCGCGGGAGCATTCACAGAATCGTACTTCAACACGTTCGCGTGACAGCAGTCCGCGCATGCCTAGGCCGCGGTAACCTTTTTAGACCAAGCCAAAAAATAATATAATTGCTTATGAGTTGTTTTACAGCTCTGAAGAAATTCCGCTTGAAGATTTCCAACATTCACGCAACAATAGTCCACAATCACGTGGCAGTTCTTCACACGTCAATACGCCAACACGTGTACTTACGCCATCACGCGCGTTAAATTACGAACAGATCGCCATTTCTGTGCATAATGGTATGCCACGCGAAACGCATTCCCCAGCGCCGCTTAACCCAACGCAGTTAAATGGTGTTGCTATTGCAAAAGAAGTCGTTGTACCGGTCGCTAGCTCCGAAGAGACATCGTTTATTGGCAGCGAGGATGCACCATCGAGTGAGCAACGACGTCGCGGAATTATCGAAACAGTATAAAACTTATGAACCGCTGTAGATTTGCATTAGGTTAATATAGAGGATAATATACTAGTTTGTTTTGCGTTTATAATCCATAATCACAATATTCATATGTTTAATCAACAAAACAATAACAATGAGGTTGAAAAATGTTACAAAAATTATTTACCGTAAATTTGTTTGAGAAAAATAGTGTTTCTTTTGTTTTTAGACATAAGGTGTACTCATACTGAAGGCAAATTTTGACGTAACATTAATCTATATTAAATGATATATTGAAATTATTAAAAATTCTTGATCTTTGACTTGTTTAGGCATATGTTTAAACTGAATTTTGTAAAAAAAAAATAGATACTAATGCCAACTGTGAGTAAAATTTAATAAAAAAAATTTAAGCTACACGTATGTACGTACATACACATTGGACTATTATTGCAGCGGCAACAAACAACCTCTAAGCCGGGCAATTAGGTGTTTTTCAGGGACGACGGAAAGTTTGGAGGCTGGCCGGAATGGAAATTAGGGAAATTTTACTGAAGTGACAGTTTTTGAGGAGGAATAAATCTGTCATTGGAAGGGTCCTTCAATTTCTCACTCGCCAGAATCCCAAAAGAACGCCTGTAGTGATTCCAAGTTTCCAAGTTTTTGTGAGGGTTTTAGTTTTTCTGCACTTCAAGGCTACAGAGGATTCCAATTCAAATGATGAAAGTGTATTACATATCGCCTCTCTGTAATTTTGGATTAAGACACTGTCGTTATGAAATTTGCTTCACGTGCTTATCTTCGCACACATTCTAATGGCGCAAGACTGTGACTGAAAAATGCTTGAAGTACCCTCTGAGAACACGTGAAGCAAACACTCCATGTCGGAAATATAAACGTATTGTATTGAAAGCACACGTAATGGACATGGTGTCAGTGGATACACATTTCCTTCCAATGTTTCCCTGGACAGTTGACTCAAAAAAGATTAAATTTATTTAATAATAAATAAAACAAGGTCTTACTTTTTGTAACTATTTTGTAAATAAATCAATGGTATTTTGTGTTTTACTTTTTGTGTATATTTTATTTGCATATTTCATTTAGCATTTTTTTATTATTTTTTTCTAAAAATAGTATGCTTTCCCAAAAAGTTATTTTTTAATTATTTTATAATGCACGTGTAGTCTTAATTTCATTAAAATTAAAATTTAATTCATTACTAGGCTAATTCGTATTTGTTTTCCATTTTTTAACTTTTTTAGCTTTAAACGATTTTAAAGGTTAGTTTAAATATTGCATAAAATGTATATTTTTCATAAGTATTTATGTATGTATAGTGTTGTCTATTTGACGTAAGTAAACTTTAAAGAAGTCGCCCAAAAGAGTTTATGTAATATGTATGTATTTATGTACATACCAGAGCAGGTATACTCCTTTACACATTAAACATAAGCGTAAAACGAATGTAAATTTATTCGTGTGTATATATCGTTACCTTAATACACAAAGGCCCCTAACCTTTTTGGAAACTGCGTTTTTCACAGATTTTGATAGGATGTATTAAAATATACCTTCAATAAAAAATTTTTAAGTTTTAGTACCAAAAACAACGGAGTTACGGCCACTTTGTTAAAAGCCCTACCTGTGTTTGATACCCTTTTTATAATATTTGTTTACTTCTCCTATAAAATAAAAAAATGTTGGTTAGGGCCTTTGTGAATTAGGGTGACGATATGTTTGTATGTACATAAACGTATACGTAGCGTTCAAATATGCAATAACAATCAATAAATTAAACGGAAATATAAACAAATTTATAACTTGTTTTTGTTGCTTCTAATAATTGAAAATGTTGCACCTTTAAGGATGAGCGTCGTTGAGTTTAAGAACAATTAATAATAATTGTGAAGAAATAATAAAACAAATGAAAAATAATTCTTTTTCTTTTTTTGTGGATTAAAAAATTCAAGTCATTTAACTGCGACTAGACCAAACGCACGAATAACAATCAATTCACCCTCCGTAGGGTCGAATAGCTAACAAATGCAATGTCTGCTTATGAGTGTCAATGTGTCGCTAGCTTAAAGATTTGTAAATATTTACCGTGTGTATTTCATTCGAATTGATAAATATTCACGCAGCTCACGTCAACAAGGTTATGTAGCAAATGCACAAAAAAAAACTCCCATCTTCATACTTAACCTTTGCACCCTGCTAATTTGTGTTGTTGTTATCGGTTATTTGAATGGGTGGTAACCAAGTGTAGAAGAGTATGTAAGCAGCACCGGAAACCACATTAGAAGTATCCAACGGCGTGACGACCTGGTCATCGAACTTGAACCATCTGTTGCATGAGTAATATTAAATAGCAATAAATATCAGCAACTAAACATTTTAAAAGCGCGTATGTACGTACCTGGCATAATTACCACTTTTACAGAACGCAGTGTAGTGGCCGCTCTCCATGGAGCCGTAATGATTAGATACGCCATAAAGTTGATACGTTTTCGGTGTCACCGAACGCGATTCGGATTTGGCAATGTAGGGTGTCATATCGAGATTTTCGAGCGGAAAGCGTAGATAGTTTTGTTTCTTTTTGTACGAATTACCAACAGCATCAGAATCGGCATAGAATCTTAAATTGAATTGAAATTTTTGTTAAAAAGTTAGTAGAATTGTTGAGAAAAAAATTTTTATTGTTGGTTCTAGTTTTCAAAATGACTGCATGTAATTAACGCAGACAAATTAAAGTAATAACACCAAGTGCAATTCACCTTTTGAGATGTATCACCAATACAGGTGGCAGTTTTGAAATATCCAATTTCTTTACAGCATCGCGTTTCTTCTGGCAATTCGGACAATTCCAACCGTGTATACGTTCACCGCTAAAGTACATATCCATGCATTGGCTAAGATAGCAAAGATTTGCATTTGAAGGCAGTTCCAGGCTTAGATTCGAAAAACACTCATATGTGGCCGACTCTTTGTTGCAGTCGACACATTTGACGGTACTTTTTATTTGGCCATAGAATAAATGCAGTATGAGACTCTCTTTTGCTTTGGTAAATTCAAGCCACGCCTTCTCGGACGGTGTTATGTTATCACGTGCCTTCTCGGGTACGTTCAACGTTTGCAAATCGGAATGTAGCCAATCCATAAGTATGGTAAGAAATTCGTGTGAATCCTGCTGTTCGATGCCGCGGAAGATTTGCTGATATTGACCCATAACGTACTGTTTAGCAAATGTTGTGCGACCAAGAAAGAGTTCAATGATTTAATACATAATTAATCAAGGATTTGTTATAACATTTTATATATGTAGATTCTGGAAAAAGCATAGGTATGTACATACATACATATGTATATATTAACATAGATAAAAACAAAGGCATGATGCCATTGTTGCCTTTATAAATATCATTTACATGCAATATACATATGTACATATGCATGTATGTATATGTTAGAACATTCGAATATGCAGGTATGTATTACACATTGCTAAGACTCTGAATTTTATTATACACTTACACGCAAGTCCTTACTAGCAACACATTTATAGTTGCCATTCCATAAAACTTTAATGAGCGCCGCCACCTCCTCGACAATATGACCCTTCGTCTTATTGCTGCGACTTATGTAGTTCTTATATTTGTCAGTTATACAGTATTCGGTGAGCTGTGGGGTATTGCTGAGGCACTGTATTATACTGTTCATGTAGCAGGTGTTGCCCAAGTTTTTTAGGCCGGTCAAGCCGCGACCCTAAGAAAGCAGTAAAAACAAAATTAATTAACCTTGAACTGATTGATACATATACAGGCCACTTAATAAAAATATATTTTGTTGTTACTGATATTATGTAACTACTGATTATACGCCACGAAAGCTAATCCTGAACAATTTTCTTTGTTAGCTGCTTAGTTAATAAATGATTATATCTGTAGGCTTAAAACCACGACTTAAGTGATTTCAGAAGTTTTAACTTTAGAGGAGAACAGTTTTCTACAAAAATTGAATATTTTATAAAACAAAAAAAAAAATCTGAAACAACATATATCGACTCATAAACTAATACTTTCAATTAAAAATGTGTAAAATTTAAGGGAAGGAACGTAAACTATAGTATTTTAAATCTCACGGATTCAGACTAACTTAATACTCCTATGCCCTGCATGTGAAATAAACCTCTTCATTTTCATCTTTTGCCTTAAAACTGTTCATCCAACTTCTATCTCTCTTTACTCTAACCTTGTAGAAACAAGACGTTTACTTAGCCTGCGATTAGTTGGGCCTAATGATTATACATAGGTATGTACATATGTATATCGGACGCTATAAATATTCCACACAATTGCGAACCATGTAAGCATTTACTATAATATACAGCCCAAAAATATGCAAGACTTTTTAACGCACCCGTTTCAATGGAAAAAACGATGTGTAAATTAAAATATGCGTCGCCGGTATATTCAATTTAACGCCTGCGACCACAATCATCTTAAAATATTATTTTTAATACTACTTTTATTGGTTATAAAAATTGTAAACGATTGTAAAATTTTTGGCTTTGAGTTGGCGATTGTTGGCGTTTGGGATTGCGCGCACAACAACATGCTTTGAGTAGAGACAACGACAGACTGAGGCAGCAGCCAATAGAAAAAGTTCGGTTGCCTCTGGTCAGACACGACAAATAACGCCTAGACATATGTGCACAAGAATATGACAAAGGAACACTCATGAAGGAAGTAATTTAATGTATGTAATATAGTTTTTGAACTTGCCTATGTTTAGGCGCTATGGCGGGCATGCATTTACATGTGAGCTGATGCTCACGCCCAACAAACATTGATTTTCTGGGTTTGTTAGGTGGTCATTGAAAATTGGCGCATTCCACACTTTTTTGAGTGGCAGAAGATAGTACTTGTGGTAGCTGAGTGAATTCGTATGTATGTAGTATGTAGGTAACACAGATACATATATACTCGTATGCAAATGTACATATGGGTACATGGAGGAAATGTAGGCGGGTCACGTTAATGAAAATAACATTCGGTCATTAACACATTTAACGTAGACTGCCTTATGACGGTTGGCATGGTCGTTAAAAAATGCGTGTATACTGTTGCGAAACGTGACTAAGAAACGGATGATGACGATATCGAAATGTTAAGATATTGTGTTATGAACACAAAACGATTTTGAAAGCATGTACAATGTACAAATAGTTGTTGCTGACTTTTCAAAGTACAATTTTGCTTATTTTGCCAAAAAAAAAAAAAAACAATTCATAATTACCAGATCATTAGACGCGTTTAGAGATCTGTAATTTGAAATGTCTGTATTCAAAATTTAATAAATTATACTTGAGTTTCAGTCTAAACGCAGAAAATTCGAACTTTTTTGTTTTTGCGATTCTCTGTCGCTCGATAACGAAGGTAACTCAGCTATATTTACTGATAAGATTTGAAGAAACAGCTTTTTTGCAAATGCTTAACCATTCATATTAATTGTTGTAATGAGTAAGCTCGCCAATTCATCATATTTGAAAGCGTACGTACTCTCAATGAAAAATAAGCGAAAAGGGAAAATTGTTTACATCGTGACGTAAGTGGCGCACATGAGTCTACCACTTTCTTTTAAGACACTCAACCTTTTTACATTACAAACGTGTTTCATTGGTATGCATTTGCAACGTGCCCCAATATATTTACTTACCACTGCGCCGGGTACCGGTGAGAAATCGCGTTGTCTATCTATTATATAGGTGGATGTACTGCTCTGCGGTTTTACAGATCGATCGAACTGTGGTATTTTTGGTTTGGATATATCGTCATCTTTGTCCATTGGTGCCCGTGCTAGCGCCATTGCCGTGGCTAACTGTTGGTCACGTTGTTGTTTTTCCCGTTCCAGCTGCTCGTTAAGCCTTTGTCGCTCTTGTATTTTATCCTCAATTTGGCGTGTAGTCTTTTCGATATCAGCTTTTTCGTTGGGTGTTAACTCATCTTCTTCTTCTTTTTTAATGAGTTTATATTTCTCGATTTCATCTAAAAGGCGATCGTTCTCAGTTTTCTGTAAATTAAGGAAATGTAGATCAAATATATTTTTATAAATTTGTACTAGTTTTTTTTTCATACATAATCTGTAGCTTCACTCTCTAACTGCATTATATAGTAAAGCAGTTCTTTTTCGGTTGCTGACATTGGCATTTTATCGGGACTTTGTTTATTTTTCTCAAATATAGAGTCCAATTTTTGTGAAGCTTTCTTTAGCTGTTCATCATTAACTTGCGCTTTCTCCATCAACTCTTTCTGCTCCTTAGCTAGCTCAACAATAGGTTGTTGCTTCTGTTCGTACGTTTTCATTGCAGCCATTTTACTAGAGCGATCAACGCTTGGTGGTGGTGACAATGCGAAAGTAAGGGGTCGCGACAAACTACTTCCTGGCCTGGACGTATAACTCTGACCACTTATTTCATCCTTCATTGTAATATCATTTATTGATGGATATTCAATGTCGTCAATTAAATCAAAATCGTTGTTGTTCTGTTGCGGCGCTTGCACGCTGGGATTAGTGCACAATGTTGGGTACATCATAATGAAGAACTCGTAGCCACCTTGTAGAATTCTGATTGGTGAACGGTAAATTACATCTGGGTCCCACTGCAAATACGTTTCAGATTATTATTTTTTTATTAAAAAATTTTTAGAACCACACTTTTTGTAGTATATCGAGCAGAATTCCAATAGAGGAAGTTGGAGGCGGGTTGGCATCTCTACTATTCCAATCTATTAGCACAACTTGTTCTTTTACTGAGCGAGCTGACCATAAAACCTTGGCACCATTTTCTAGTTTGTCTTGTAGTTTTCCAGCCGACATACTATAAATAGTGAATAAGTAAAGAAAAGCGCCGTAAAGGCAAATTATGTTTTTTACTTACCCTGCACAGATGTGTTCCTCGGGTACATTAAAAGAATACTGATATGTCAGATGCGATGTCTCATAATCTTTACTCGATCGACAATCCATTACTAGCACATTGCTTTGCTTCATAAGTCCGAATAATTCTTCACATTTTATGATACCTAACGATTGCAACGTATAGTAACTGCCTAAAAAATTTGAGGTGGCAGGACTTGGTGTATCCGCTTTCAACAGGTCAAATTTCTCTGACGCACTTAGCTCGTTGTAGTCACGGACGTGTTCGCTAAGTTTAGAAGGAGGTGCTACAAGGGCTGCGGATTGCGTAGCGGCATGGGCAAGCTGTTTCGCCTCATAACGGCGGCTAAGTGATGAGTTAAGCAGCTCCAGTTTGTTCATTGTGACCTTGTTATTGGAATTGCCGCCTAATGCTTGCCGTACAGTATGCTTAAGTTCTGGATAGTCAGGTTTTTTATGTATGCAATGAAGTAAATTGAAATACTTCATATATAAGACATAGGCAAGCTCTTCGTCGCCCTCTCGATAATATTTATCCGCTTCACGTAGCAACTTCCTCGCTGATTCAACCAGTCTGAAAAGACGTTTTTTTTTTTAATAAAATTATGGTACTTTAGGCACTTAGCCAACTATATACTGTATGTGCCCATTTATGTATATGCACATGTGAGTACTTACATATGAGTTTTCTTCGTGCGCGCATCAGGAATCTCGGAATGTTTTTCCAAATCATTTAAATTTTTACCTAAGTGTAAATCTTTCACTTGTGCCATTTTTGGCATGGCTTAAAATGTAAAATTTTCTTCAAAGTGATTCCCGGCCGATTCCTGTGGCAGCAATATGCAATGCACTACGTGTAGATACGTCGATATTCCTATCCTGTCAGGAACAGTGGATATTTAAACCAAATTCACTGGACAAGAGAACCTGTTTAATTATTAATATTTTGGTATTAATTTAGCACAAGCAGCCGCCTAATTTAATCAAAAACAAATTGATAAAAGATTTAACTAAATCTCGTACAAAATTTCATTTTGCGTCAGTGAGAAAATGACGTTTCACCCGACTGTCGACTATTAATTAGTCAGCTGATTGTGGTGATGGGATTTAGTGGTTATCGACGACTTTGCAAATAATCAATTTGTAAATACAATTTATGAAAATAATATCCATAACGAATGGGATTATATTAAAGTTATAAAAAAAGCTTGTATTTAGATGACTGTGAATTTTTAAGATAATGAATAATTGCGCAATGAGCTAAACTACAGTGGAATTCAATTCGAATTATCGATGACTGTTTTTAGTTACACTTTCGAGTATACATGCAGATGTTTTGGCGCCAGTTTCCTTTTCAGCTGTTGTTTGTCATTTGGCATTACGTATTCGATTTTAATTTCTTTTCCGGTGCTTTAAGCGTTTGTTAGTGAATTTTATAAAATGCAGAAAATGTTTATTATTAAATTTATTTTTCAGTGATAATGTAATTGCAAATGTGTATTAATGTTGTGTTGTGTTTTATTTAATATTGGAATGGCTTTGTGATAGCAATATAAATATCTAATATCCGGAAGTCCTCTGCTGTGGCAATTAGGAAAGCTAGATTTGTAAGGCAAGTAAGAAAATCGCTACTGCTCAACCTTTTATACTTGCATGTATGTATGTATGGATGTATGTATGTAGGAGGATATTAAAAATGCATCGTTTCGAAAAGTATTAGGGTACTTACTTTATTTTTTCTCGTTTATACATATACAATGAAAGAAAAATTTGCTAAGTCCGAAAGAGCCACCGAAAATCCGACACAAACAAAATAATCAGCCTTATCACGGGTTTCATTTTTCCCGAACCGGTTTACTTTGGTTTCCATGGTTTTATTATGGGCGGATGACAAATTTTCGGGTGAATTTTTTTCAAACGAAACTCAGGATAAGACAGAATAAGAAATCTTTTAATACATATTGAATCCTTCTTCTTCGTATGGAGTTTTTCTTTGCCTATGGCTATAAGAAGTTTTTTCCCCTCCTGTAAAATTACAAAAAACACAATTAGCAATTTTACACTAAGCTAGCGATATGTGACATACATAACAACACATTTTAAAACAATTTAAAAATTTTTCCATTTGATATATACATATGTACAGTGAAAACTCTCATAGACATCTTTCATAAGCGGACACATTCTTGGGAACGAACACTTTTTTTCCATACAAAATGCTCTCCCATACACGGACTTTCCGATAAATGGACGCGGACACTCATAAAAGTCCAGTTATGAGAAAAAAAATCTCCCATAAGCGGACGCGAAGCTCTAAGAATCGGTCAATTTTGTTTTCTTTTTTTTCAGTCAGATGTTGATTCTTGCTCTTCTACATATGAATTGTGCACAAAAACATAGTCCATATTCAAAGATATTTTCTTTTCTAGAAAAAAGTGTTGCCTTTTCGTTGCTCTCTTCTTGCTGCTTGTGCGAAGCAGGCAATGAGATTTATCGGTAGGTAATATTGCTAACTTACAGCCGCACTCAGAAACGTTCCTTAAATTAGCTCTAACGGGCACTTAACTAATGATCGTTAAATCTGTTAATTAATGTTTCCTCTCAGAGTTAAAAATTATGAAATACAAAATTTAAGTATGGCCCCAGTTCCCTTTATTTTTGTGGCATCACTCAGTTTTTTCGTTCAGTTTGAAATAAAATATAAAAATAAGTATTTATATCAATTTGCGCGCACTGGATCAACAGCCGCAATGCCTGAATGAGCAGAGCACTGCGTGCCATTCGAGAGATCCGAGTGCTAGTGCAGGAACATTTTTTTCCTTTTTTTATTTTATTTTTTTTTCTTGATAAATTTTTTTTGCTTTTTGATCTAATTTTCTCTTGATTTATAGATTTTGTTGCTTTAAAAAGGAAACATTTTTTTTTTAATCTAATTAAATTTTTAGAAACTGTTTGCTGAAAGACAAACAAGACCAATAACAGGCCAATTCTGGCATCTGTGTTTCAACTCACCTCAGTCTTTCGAGAGACAACTATCTTGAAAGCTCTTTTCTGTATTTTGAATGAGTAATTGAAAGATGTGCTAATAGTGTTATTATATTTATCGTTTAGCAATAAGTTTTCCAAAAACTAAACGAAATGAAAAAAATATTTTTTTATAACAGGAAAAACTAAAAATTTGAGAAACTGAAATTAAAAGAAAAAAAGATGAATCAAAAAAGTTTACAAACGTTAAATAAAATAAAAATATGAAGTTTTTAAGCAATAAAACTTAAAAAAAAAATGTTATTAAACAAATTTGTTGCCGAGGATTGAACTCGGATCTCTTGATTGACACGAAAGTGCTCTGCTCACCGGGCCATTGCCACTGTTACAGCGACGTTATCGAAATTGAAATTTATTGAAAACAAACAAAAAATTTCAAAATCATTCTTTAAAAAGTTAAGTAAAGGTTTTTGTTTACTCTGAGTGCGGCTGTTAGAGTGAAAAGTTACTAAGTCAATTTTTTTTTTAATTTAACACGAGACAAAACAAAATTTCCTAAACCATTTTGCAAAACTATTTTGCAAAACTCTGAATGCAATGTTTCGCGTTTTTCATATTAGATCCGCACTGTTCGTTGGATTTCAAGAAATGAGGTGTCAAATAAAAGGGCTCAGCTTTTATATGTTCAATAATGTATTACTTTTTTAGTAGGGTTGCCACCTAATTAAAAATTACTATCTTACATATAATACGTGAAGGCGCTCTTTTTTCAAAATATTCAATCAACTGATTGGTTTTTTTTTCTATACAAATTGTAACAGAAAATTTATTGACTTTTACTCAATCGTATCGCTAATTCATTGCAAAAACAACTCAGTTGTTATAATAAAAAGAGAGAAATTATTGAGGCAAATTATTATACATTTTTTATAGGTACCTATATTTTATAATTTCTCCCCAACCCTTACGTATATATGTAGGAAACAAATTACCGATTGAGAGGCGAGACTGGAAAAAATCGTTCAATTGATTTTTTAAATACCACCCTAATGTACATACATAAATAATAAAAAATAATAGTAGCAATTGCTTACCTTGAAATTGACCAGAATATTCCTGCAGCAAAAACCTAAATACAAATCGAAATCGATATTCATATTTATTTTGGACTTATCAAATTTTCTGTGAATACTTTGGAATTAGCAATTTTGGAAATCACGGAATAAAAACAGGTAGAAATAAAACAAGTACATAGTTAGATCCTTTCGGATGCGATAAATTTTTAATTTTCCTTGCTTCCTGCATCAAAATCTAAGTTTTCTAGGGACGGTAACCATTATGAGCAAAATAATTTAAATCAGCATTTAAACATTATTTTATGAGTTTTTTTTTTTATCGAAAAAATAAAAATCAAGTTATAATAATTAATTTTGGCGAACAATTAAAACCAAATATTAGTTAATTATTATTTTTAATCTTTATTGGTTAAAATCGAAAAGTAAAAATCATTGTAAATTACAGTGGGACGTACGAACACAAATACATGGGCATAAATAACATTGTTTTGCGACGATTACAACTTGTTGATTTTTTTAACTAAAAAAAATTATGATTATTTTCCGTTCTTGATTTTTTCATAAAAAGTCACCTTAGCAATATTTCACTCTAAGTTAACGATGTATGAAAGTTTTGATAAAATAGCAGCATAATTTACTCTCCTGACTGCATTCTACTTTTTTAAATAATACACATACATATGTACATATTTATAATTGTTTTGTTGTTTTGTTCTTTTGTTTAATCGTGAAACACTCAAATTTACACTTAAAAATTTAGCACTTCGCACGCACAGCCATCTTGACCTGCTTGAGCGAATATTCGGGACCATGAAAAGTTTCCCAATACATACCCTCCTTGAATTTGTCATTCTCACCACGCAAGTAGTTACCAAAAATATTACTTTAAATAAAAAAAAAAAACAGATTCGTTAAATAAAGTAGATTTTCAAAAGAAATTTCACACCCACAACACTTACGCTTCCATGCAATTCTTAAACCATCCCGGACTATTGTACTCCTCACTGCAGCTACCCTGCGATTTGGCATCATTGTCGCGATCAACGGCACTAAACTGCTGACCCTCATGGTACATAAACGAATCGCCAGCTGTGCCATGATAGACGCCTAATATGCCCAACTTGTAGGCGGCACGTTCATTGAAGACGCTGAAATCGCTGTAGTGCGCATATTTCTTTAAACCTTTGAAATCCTTTAAGTCAATGCGAAATTCGAAGAATCCACTAAATGTGAGCTCGTGTAGACGCTGCAAGCCCAAGAAGAACTCACTCTTTTCACCAACATTACCAAAACCCTGCTTGTAAGAATCCCAAGTGCGATTATGAAAGGCAACAGAGCCATCGAAACGCTGCAGGACGACTATCCAACGGTCAGCATCGCAGAGCACCTTGAAAGCTGGTACTTTCGTATCGTCAAGTTGAATTTCACTAACACCGCTAGTTTGACAAATTTGTGCCAAACGCTCGGAACATTTGTGTTGACTGCTGCTGACGCCTGCGGAGGTGGAACCGCGCGCTGATTGTAAAGTGTAAGCGCGTTGGTGAAGTTGGCGCAGTTGGTGCTGCGACTCGACATCTTGAAGACTTATAGCGGCAAGGAGAAATCAAATTTAATTATTATTTAATAAACATATGTACATAAATAATAAAGTTAATAAATACTTGTCTGCTGCATGCTGCTTACGATGTGCATGAGGAACATGTACACAAGCTGCTGATGGTTCGATTTCCGGTTGTGGTGTTAGGTTTGCCACTTTTCCATTTAGTGTTTTCAATCTGAAAAACCAAGTATGTATGTATGTATAAAATTTTTATGGCTTATATTCAAAAAACTCGATCTGCAATTTTTACAAAAACTACTTTCTTACTTAACTATCATCACTGATGTTAATTTTAACTAGTAAATTCTTCTAATAAGCGATATACAAGGTCAGCAAGTTAACATCATTGATGACCGTTTAGTCTTAGGTGGATTTTTATGTCAGAATCTCTTTTTTGCAAAAATT